ATGGATAGTTACGTAGCCAAAACATTTAAGATAACTTAGTTTGGTACATAAATCATTTAAGTAGCAAAAACTGAAATATAGAAATTATGTAAGTAAATGACCATAACCACGGTACAAAACATAACAGAACAGAGGTCACAAAAGGGACAGTCAGAACAGAGGTACGGATTCAAGAGGTGGCTCGTACGAACTCTAGAGGTGGCTCCCACAACAGTGTAGCACTTAGCTCCGTACAGCACTTTGCTCCGTACAGCACTTTGCTCCGCACAAAACAAAGGTACAGATTCAAGAGGTGGCTCGTATGGATTCTAGAGGTGGCTCCCACAATAGTGTAGCACTTTGCTCCGCACAGAACAGAGGTCAATGGATCCATGACAAACAGAGGACCACAAAGGGGTCAAACAGAGGCCAATAGTTATTTAAGTCCCCCAAGGCATGAAACTCCCGTGGTGGTACTTACAAAACATAATTGTTTATAAGGTTATAGTCAAATATTCTTTAAAATATAAACAAACATATCCATGGATTTCCTTTTAACAAATAGGGTTCAGAAATAAAACCACGTAACTGAAATGTTTATAAAACCAAAACATTTAAGATAATTTAGTCGGAACAAACAATCCTTTAAGTAGCAAAATTGAGATTATGTAAATAAATCATTGGTAAACACATCATTTAAGTGGCAGAAACTGAAATACATAAATTATGTAGATATATAGCCATAACCACAGTACTGAACAGAACAGAACAAAACAGAGGTCACAGAAGTGACAGTCAGAACAGAGGTACGGATTCAAGAGGTGGCTCGTACGGATTCTAGAGGTGGCTCCCACAATAGTGTAGCACTTAGCTCCACACTGCACTTTGCTCGGCACAGAACAGAGGTACGGATTCAAGAGGTGGCTCGTACGGATTCTAGAGGTGGCTTCCACAATAGTGTAGCACTTAGCTCTACACAGCACTTTGCTCCGCACAAAACAGAAGTCAATGGATCCATGACAAACAGAGGACCACAAGGTGATCAAACAGAGGCCAATGGTTATTTAAGTCACCCAAGGCGTGGGACTCCCGTGGTGGTACTTACAAAATATAATTGTTTATAAGGTCATAGCCAAATATTCTTTAAAAGTAAAACAAACATATCAATGGGTTTCACTTTAGCAAATAGGGTTCAGAAAATAATCCACGTAACTGAAATAATAATATAACTTAATATAATTTATAATAGTTTATAAAACATAACTTGTATAAGATAAAGATGGTAAGTTAAAACATACATAAAATACATTACGGTGACTCAAGGTATAATATAACTCACCTTAACTTTAATATCTTACTCTTTCTTTCCACTACCAAAGACCCTTTCAACTTTCATTTTTTTCTTTCCTTTTTCCTTCTTTTCCTTTCTCTCTTCTTTCTTTCCTTCTTCTCTTCCTTTTCTTTCTTCTTTCTTTTCTTCTCTAGGTGAAACGCCTCCCTATTTATAGGGAGGTGAGGCCATCCGCGGGCCAACACGTGGCTAGGCGTCGCTTTCCCAAAGATTTAATTCATAATTATATAGATTCATTCTTATCCTTAATAGATATTTAACATAATTACCCTTTGACCCAATATTTTAATATAATTATATAAATAAATTAATTCTTAATTAAATTACACTTATCATATACAAATAGAAAATAAATTATTTATTTTACTACTACACCCATTATTATTATCTATATTATTATTATTTATATTTTGACCCCTAAACTTTTACTAATTATATTTTTTTACAAAATTACACATAATAATATATAATAAATTATATATCCAAATTGAGATTAAATAATATCAGTATAAATTTTACAGAATAATTAAAAATCTGGATTGTTACAAATAGCATTTTTCATCAAACACAATTAAAAAAGTCACTAATTATTAATTTTTAGCGACAGTTTGAAAATTTTGTCCCAAAAAATGTTACTAATTACAAATTTTAGCAACAGTTTAAAAAAATCATCACAAAAAAAGTCATTAATTTTCAACTTTCAGTAACTGGTTCAAAAATTCATCACAAAAAGGCATTAATTGTAAGTTTTAGCTATAATTTATTAAAACCGTGATAAGAAAAAGTTACTAATTGTCCATTTTGAGCCACATATCAAAAAATCGTCACAAAAAATTATTTTTAGCAACAATTTTACTATGCCTTATTTTTAATAGGACATGATATGACTTAAATCCAGAACACAACTAAGTGGGGAATATCATAGGAAATGGAGCAAGTCAGAAACGGAGGTTGGATTCCTGTTGTAAGTCAGTGGAAATGTGGTAGAGGGTAAGGCAAGGAAGCAATGCATGGATTTTTTTTCTGTCTTCGTGGATAACATACCAACAAAAATGGATGCTAAATCACTATTCAAACTTTTCACAAAGTTTGGCATTGTGAAGGATGTCTTCATCCCTTCCAAAAGAAGGAAAATCACAAACTTAAGATTCGGGTTTATGAGATTCGACTATCATGTAGCAGCAGATGTAGCCATTCAAAAAGAAAATGGCCTTCTGGTGGACGACATGGTATTAGAAATCAAAAATACCACTTATGATAGAAGAAACAGAGAGGAGCTAAGCAGGAGAGAGCCTCAGTTCATCACAAAAGCCTCAGTTCATTAAAAGATCTTTTGAAACCAATAGATCCAGGGGTCAAGTTTTACCTAGTGGTCATAGATCCTTCACTGACGTATTGCAAGGGGTCACCCCCATGGAGGCTGGGAAAGCAAGTACCATCATAAAAGTAAATAAAGAGGGTCATGGTTGGCTTTACGAAGTTGCCGTAATCCGATGTAATGCTGAATATTCCACTCACAGTATTATCAAAGCCCTAAAGAAGAAAGGGTTGGAGCAGATAATGGTCAGAAAAGGGGGTGGTCGGGATGTAATTTTAACTTTCAAATCCCAGGAGGAGCTGAAATCAAACATTGGCAATATCAAAGATTGGTTCAAGGATTGGAGTCAATTTGTGGTGGAATTGAAGTCCGGAAATCATTTGCAATAAGAAAGATGTGTGTGGTTGAGGTGTTATGGCATACCCTTGAATATTTGGAATAAGAACACTCTCAATAACATTGGAAGTTTATGGGGTTCTGTTCTCAACTTGGATGGTGATATTTGTCAACCAAAATCTGTCTCGCATACCAGAATCAGAGTGGCTACTTCGTCTATGGAGTTCGTTAATAAAACTTTAATCTTAGAGTGTAAGGGTAAATCACATGCCATTATTGTGTGTGAAGATCATTTACCAAATTCTAGTAGCCTGAAGCACAACGACATGGATGATTACAGCTTCATTGAAACCTGTTGCAGTGCAAAGAAAGGAAACAATCCAGAGGTAGACGGCAGAGAGAAGGAAGATGATAATGAGGTGGCAGAGGTTAATGCCATGTTTGGTGCTGAGCTTGCTTGTACCAATGAGGAGGCACACAAGAAGGAGCCTATTGACTGTTACTTAGGTGAGGAGGGTGACACAATTGTTGAGGAGACAACTTATGAAGGAGGTCCCAGCAGAGAAGGTGCATGCGTAGAGGAGTCTATGATGGAAAAGACAGTGCATAGTTCAAAAAGCAATGATGATAGACAAAGGTGTGCTGAGCAAGTCTTCACATCTGGATTCATCCAAAGCTTAAATGAATCTAGTGTAGGACTTGGGCTTGACATCAACTTGGAAATGGATTTGGCCTTGTTACAAAGTAAGAACTTAGTTAGTGGCCTTTCCAATAGGCCCAATGAGCCTATTGATATCTGCCCTAGCAGTAAAGATATTTTAGCACTTTGTCACATTAATAAGCATTCTTCTGGGCCTTTAATCATAAATGGTCCTAATGGGAAGAGTATTTTGACCCAATATCATTCTAGCCAAGATACAACACTTGCCTCCATCCTAAATCCTCTGCAAAGTGAGTAGAAGAAAAGGAAAAAATGAAAACTCAGCTAGAGGGGTTCACTAGCTTTGCTAGACTTTATGCCTTCACAGCTGCTTCAGCCAACAAGCACTCCACTAAGTTTGTCATTTTCAGGCCAGCAGCAATTGTTATTGCACATTCAGATTTATTTGAGGGAGTTACATCTTTGAATAATTATCTACTCACAGAAGCTATAGCCACTATACAATTGGGGAAAGCTCTTGGTATTGATTACAATGGAAAAGAAGATGTTGTTCTCAGCAAGATTGTTGACCTAGAGCTAAAGGACAATTAGAGAATTAACAAGGAGGGGGAAGCACATCAATAAGTTGTTGTAGATGGGTGATTTTGAGTGTATCAATTGTTTCTCTATGACGCTATTATCTTGGAATATTAGGGGCATGGGTAAGGCTGAAAAGCAGGGTAGAATCAAAAAGCTCATAAAGGATAGACATATAGATATTGCTTTTTTTTCAAGAGACTAAGAAGGCAGTGGTCTCAGATATTGCTGTTAGAGGGCTCTGAGGGAGTAGGAATATGGAGTACATGTCTATTGATCCTGAAAGAACAACTGGAGGGCTATTATGTATCTGGGACCCTAATGGTTTCAAACTTTCTGGTTACTATTGCAATAAGAGGTATATTTTACTTTCTGGTTCTCTATATAATTCATTTGATTGTGTATTGCTCAACATTTATGCACCCAATGATGTCAATAACAGATCCACTTTTGGGGACAATCTTTTAAAGCTCAAGGTTTTTTTCCCCCATAATCCTTGGTGCTTGGGTGGTGACTTCAATGAAATTAGACATATAGGTGAAAGGGTAGGATGCTCCAAGAGGGATAGGGGAATGAAACACCTAAATGAGTTTATTGAAGAAAGTGAGCTCAATGATTTACCTCTTTATGGAAGGAAATACACTTGGTGTAATGCCCAAGAATCAGAGAAATGGAGCAGAATTGATAGAATCTTGCTCAGTCATGAGTGGCTGATTAATTTTACAATGAAACTTTAGGGTCTGCCCAGATTAATTTTAGATCACTGCCCTTTGTTGATGATGGAGGATGACATAGATTGGGACCCCAAACCTTTTAGGTTCTTAAATGCTTGGACTTTTCACCCCAATTTTTCTCAGCCTTTTGTTACCTTCTGGACAAACACTACTTTTACTGGTTGGACTGGATTTATACTTGTTCAAAAGCTTAAGCATTTCAAGCTGGATCTAAAATCTTGGAATATTGAGGTGTTTGTCAATATTTCTTCCAAACTCAAGACTTCAAACGAAGAGTTATATGCAATAAACATCATTGTAGAGAAAAGGGCATTGCTTGATTCAAAAAAGGCAAGAATAAGTGTGGTTCAAGATGAAATGCAGAAACTTTATAGAATGATAGAGTGGATTTGGCATCAAAAATACATATTGAACGGACTCGTAATGGGGATAAAAACACTAGGTTTTTCCATGCTGTTGCTAGTACCAAATAGAGTAGAAACTTGATCAATTCTATTGCAGTTAATGGTGTGCTTCTTAAGGAACCTAATAGGGTCATGCATGAAGTTTTACATCACTTTAAGACTCAATTCACTGAAACATGGATTAAGAGACCTATTTTGGGAGCGGTGTTCAAAACTATTGAGGCAGATTATGTTTCTCATCATCTTGTATTTGAGTTCAGTACAGTAAAGGTTCTAGCAACAATTAAAGAATGCAATAACAACAAAGCACCAAGCCCTGATAGGTTCAACCTGTTGTGATACCAGAAATTTTGGAAGGTTATGAAGTAGGAGATCATGCAATTTTTTAAAGAATTTCACTCCAACAATAGGCTCACTTATGGCATTAACGGTACCTTCATTACTCTTATCCCCAAGTTAGAAAATCCCATTGGTCTATCTGACTATAGACCCATTAGTCTTGTGGGATCTCGAGCGGAAGTGCAAAATCTGGGAATTCCAGATTGCACCTCCAAGCTCAAAACCAAGTTCAAAAGCATCAAAACCGATCCCCTTGGGCCCATTTTCTAGAAAACTCTTATAAACACATGGAATAACATGATTCAAAACTCAATTTGAGAAATCAAAGCCCAAGGTGTTTAATTCAAACCCAATTTAAAACCAATTTCATGAACAAGATGAACATGCAAACATGCATGAATTCTAAACAACTTTGAAGCTCAATTTGATGCTCTAAGGAGCCAATTGATCTAAAAACAAGTTGAAAACATGGACCATTTCAAAATTATGGACATGCATGTACCATTTTACCATGAAATCAACTCACAACTCAACAATTCAAACATGCAAGCATGAATTATGCTCTATTTCAACATGTATGAACTAAAATATGACTTAGCTCTACAATTTAACATGGACCATGCAAGAATTAGCTCAAACACAAGAATGAGAAGATGAAATCCTTACCTAAGTCTTGAGTTAGAAGACTAGGAGCTCAAATAGGCACTCTATACTTCAATTCCAAGCAATTCAAGCCAATTCAACAAAATGAACTCAATTCTCTCCTATAACCCCTCTTGGTCGGCTAGTAGAAGGAAGAGGGCTGAGGAAATGGTTTTTGATTCAAGTGTATGAGTGTATACAAGGCTCAAAGGTGTGTGAGATATTGGCCACTAAGTGTGGCAAAATGGTAATTACGGCAACTATTGCAATTAACTCATTTTAATCTAATTTAATCATACCTAACCAGTTTTCAGATAAATATATCATAAATTCACATTAATTATGAGGATCATAAAACATCAATCAATTCCCGGTTCGGCCGCCGATAAGGCCTTCAATTAGCAGTTTAAACATAAAACACAAACAGAGCAAATAATCAATCAAACAGATAGAATACAATTTAATTTACACACTCAGTCAATTCAGTTCCAGTTTTCAGTTAGTCAGTTCGGTACTTTAATCAGCTCAGTTTAACGGTAATCAGTGTTTATCGGTAATCTATTAGTCAGTCATTAATCGGTAAACAGTATGAGGGTTGTTACATAAGCATTTCAAGCTGGATCTAAAATCTTGGAATATTGAGGTGTTTGGCAATATTTCTTCCAAACTCAAGACTTCAAACGAAGAGTTATATGCAATAAGCATCATTGCAGAGAAAAGGGCATTGCTTGATTCAAAAAAGGAAAGAAGAAGTGTGGTTAGAGATGAAATGCAGAAACTTTATAGAATGATAGAGTGGATTTGGCATCAAAAATACATATTGAACTGGACTCGTAATAGGGATAAAAACACTAGGTTTTTCCATGCTGTTGCTAGTACCAAATAGAGTCGAAACTTGATCAATTCTATTGCAGTTAATGGTGTGCTTCTTGAGGAACCTAATAGGGTCATGCATGAAGTTTTACATCACTTTAAGACTCAATTCACTGAAACATGGATTAAGAGACCTATTCTGGGAGGGGTGTTCAAAACTATTGAGGCAGATTATGTTTCTCATCATCTTGTATCTGAGTTCAGTACAGTAAAGGTTCTAGCAACAATTAAAGAATGCAATAACAACAAAGCACCAAGCCTTGATAGGTTCAACCTGTTGTGATACCAGAAATTTTGGAAGGTTATGAAGTAGGAGATCATGCAATTTTTTAAAGAATTTCACTCCAACAATAGGCTCACTTATGGCATTAACGGTACCTTCATTACTCTTATCCCCAAGTTAGAAAATCCCATTGGTCTATCTGACTATAGACCCATTAGTCTTGTGGGATCTATTTACAAAATCTTGGCCAAAGTTTTATCACACAGATTGAAATCAATGCTTCCCTCAATCATTGGTGAAACCCAGACTACATTCATAGGAGGGAGACATATCCTTGATGAGGTGTTCATTGCTAATGAAGTAGTGGATGGGTGGAAGAAGGACAAGAAGCAAGGGCTGATTCTTAAGTTGGATTTCAAGAAAGCATTTGATTATGTAAATTGGGAATTCTTATTCTTTATGATGATCAGCTTTGGCTTTGGGGATAAATGGATCTCTTGGATGAAAGCTTATGTGTCCACAATAAGAATCTCCATTCTATTGAATGGATCACCTACTGAGGAGTTCTCACCCCAAAGAACCACTAGAAAAGCAACACGTGTATAGCATTATCTGGCAAAAGAATCAAAAGTACTCACACCACTCACACCTGGGCCCGAGTGTGACTTTCTTTTAACCACATCCATACACGTGTCCATAAGTACAACAATGGATGGCCTAAATCAACGGGGAGGGGGGCGCTGGTAATATTAATACAGCACCCCCCCAGTCACACAACTCATACCATTCACACCAGGTTTTTTAACTAATAGGGAGGCCTTGTACGGCTGGTGTGAGTTCACTGTTTACCACTACAAAATGCCTCGCCAAGCCTCTTTCCATTTTTATGCCAAGAATGTTTTCCTCACCTACCCACAATGCCCATGCCTAAAAAAACAACTCTCAGAGCTCCTCCAATCCCTTCTCTAACTAGCGTATCAGCCATACTACATACTTGTTGCAAGGGAGCTCCACGAAGATAGAAGCCCTCACCTTCATGTTGCAGGGTGATCCACTCTTCCATTTTCTATTCAACATAGTGTCTGAAGGGCTTAACATACTTTTGGTCAGAGTAGTTAACCTTGGCATTGTTAAAGGTGTGTTAGTTGGGGCTAATAACGTTCTTATTTCATATCTGCAATTTGCTGATGATTCAATTCTCTTTTGTGAAGCTGATTAGGATCAATTGGTCTTTGTCAAAAGAGTTCTCAGATGCTTTGAAGTTCTCTCGGGTCTCAAAATTAACTATCACAAGAGTTTTGTGTGTGTTGTTGGTGTGGCTGATGATCTTATGCTTTCTTTTGCTAATCTTCTCAATTGTAAGGTGCATAGCCTTTCTTTAAAATTTCAGGGGTTGCCTCTAGGTGTTAACCCTAGTAGGAAATCTACTTGGAAGCCTATTCTTGACAAAATCAAATCTAGACTGTTAGGGTGGAAGAGAAAACTATTATTCTTTACAGGTAGACTAACATTGATCAAGTCTACCATTTTCAGCTTACCTATTTATTTCCTTTATTTATTTAAAATGCTTGAAGGGGTGGCTAGAGAAATTAAAAAGATTAAGGCTGCATTCTTATGGGGTAGTAATGACCTTAAAAGGAAAGTTCATCTAGTGAAATGGGTAGAGGTTACAAAGAGTATTGATCAAGGGGGATTGGGCATCAAAAGGGTCAGGGATGTCAATGCTTGTTTACTACTTAAATGGTGGTGGAAATTTGGAAACCAAATCAATCCACTTTGGAGGAGAGCTATCTGCAGTAAATATAAGATTAAGGAAGATTGTTGGCATCCTCTAGTGAGGCCCTCTTACAAGCATTCCAGAATGTGGAGTGACATCTTATCCATTGGGGCTCATAGCAAGTCTATTTTCAAGTATTTCTTGGCCAACTGTCTAATTAAAGTGGGAAATGGTAATAGAATTAGATTTTGGTTTAATAGGTGGTGTGGTGACCTCTACCTGAAATCTATTTTTCCTCTTCTTTTTAATCTTTCAACTAATAAGGAAGGCTCTCTCCACCAATTCTTTGCTAGGAAAACAAGTTCAAGTGTCTGGAACTTTCCCCATAGAATAGAGTTGCATGCTTGGGAATTGGTTGAAGAAGCTAGCCTAATTGATGTTTTATCCTCAGCTCCTCCTCTACGTATTGAAAGTGCAAACTGCTAGGTCTGGTCTAATGCTTTTGTAGGTCTTACACAGTTCTCTATGTCTGCACACTACTCTCACAACACCTCTCTTCTTGGCCATCATCTAAGAATCTGTAAACATGTTTGGTGTACTGCATTGCCCTCCAAAGTTTCCTTCTTTTGCTGGTTGGCCTGGAAAAACAGAATAAAATCTTCAGAGTTTTTGCACAGGATTGGCATTCTTGACAGCAGTGCTTCGATCCTCTGCCCTTTATGTAGTTCTGAAACTAAATCAGCTATTCATGTTTTGCTCCGTTGCCCTTTTTCTTGGTTGATTTGGTCTACAGTGATTTAGGATTGGGGGTTTCATTGGTGCATCCTAAAATCAGTAGATGGTCTGCTCAGTTGGTAGATGGGTGGAAAATTTCAGAAGCTTGACAGGTTAATTTGGAGAGCCATCCTCTCAGTAGTTCTTTGGTCTATTTGGAAACATAAGAATGAATGTGTATTCTCTGAGGCACAATCCAACTTATCTGGTCTACTTGAACTCATCAAAATCAGAACTGCCCTTTGGCTCAAAGCATCCATTAAGGATTTCCCTTACGCAGTTGGTGATCTTGTCTTCAAGTGGAGACAGATCAAGGGTAGGGTTTGATTCTTCAGCTGGAATTGTTTTATTGCTTCTGTTCCCCTTTCTTCTTCTATTCTATGTGGTTGGTGCCTTATCAACCTTGGGGAGCTTGCATTAGCTTGAATTTGTGCATTCTCTTGCCCTTTGCAGCTCCCCTTCTTTATTGATTGTATCTCTTCTCTTTGCCTCTCCAATCAATAAAGTTTTCTTTGCCGATCAAAAAAATAAAAAATAAAAAACTATGACTTAAATCCTACTATTAAAACCCATTTATAATTTACCCTTAATAATAATCATTATGTATATCTAAGAAAAAAAAATCATTATGAAAATCAAACACAACACAATTAATACAAATAAACTTCCAAACTTGAGGAATACGACACATGTACACTAAAAAAAATTTTAAAAAAATAGTCGCCAAAAGTCAATATTTACTCGTCGAAAGTTTTAGTAGCCTAAAACTTAAACTAACACTGCCCAATAGTTTTTTGTCTTCTATTGTGGCATATTTGGTGACTAAATATTTTTTTAGTCGTCAATAATTAATATACCTTGATTAAAAAAATTTAGTAGCTAAATCCTGAACAACGCCAACCAATTTAATTTTTTGTCGCCTATTGTACAACTTTTGGCTAAATTTCTTTTAATCGACAATTTTGGTCACCAAAGTGTAAATTGTTGTAATGTCAAAATATTCGAATCATGAACCTCCTAATGAGGTGTAAGAGCATCTCCACCTGATATGTCAATTTCAATATGGCAGTCCAACAGTTCTATTTTGGCTGCAAGAATGAACTCAACTTGATATGTCAAAAGCTGACATGGCTTTGGCATCACATCTTCATGTCAATTTTGACATATTTCCTACTTCATGCTTTTTTTTTTCCAAATAAAAGAAGACCAACGATACACAATTTGTGGTTATCACTTACCACGTCATGCGGGTTTTTTTTACCAACGGGTAATATTATTTGAAGAAAAATGCTTTGGAGTTCTAATTTTTGAGCTCTAAAGCAAGCTCTAATGAGCTGGTAATGGGCCTTACTTATTGTGATGTGATGTTTTGGTTTTGTTTGTTTGTTTGTTTTTTTTTTCTTTCTCCTTGCCATGTCATTAGTGTTCCATTAGAGTAACAAAATTAGTGCTTTGAATCATTGCTATTATTTGAAAACCAACATGTGTTGTCATGTACGACAATTACTATTGCAAATAAAATATTTTTTAATTATTTTTTATTTTATTTTATCTTATCATCTATAAATTTGGAGTTGAGCAAAATATTTTTTTAATCATTCACACTATAACATTTTCAGGGGCGATCGTAGCATGTCATTTATAATGATATATATGTATTGTCATTTTTTTTTTAAATATGTATTGTAATTTTCTTTTTTCACCAAATTAAAAAAAAAGTTTAAGTAGCAATGGATAAAAAATTTGAATTTTTTTAATCATTCACACTATAACATTTTCAGGGGCAATCGTAGCATGTCATTTATAATGATATTTATGTATTGTCATTTTTTTTTTAAAATATGTATTGTAATTTTCTTTTTTCACCAAATTAAAAAAAAAAGAAGTTTAAGTAGCAATGGATAAAAAATTCGAATTTTGCTAAAAAATTATTTTATAAATATAGAATTTTAAAAAAATAAAATACTATTTAAATGGCATCAAACCTCTTTTAAAAATAAATTTATTTTAATTAGTAAAATAAAACAATTCAAATTTTAAAAATAATAGAATAATAGATGACATATTAGGTAGATAGCTTCCATGTCAAATTGACATATGTCAATTTGCCACCTAAGTCTTTAAAAAAATTTGACATCTCTGAGATGGATGGTTTGAGTGGAATTGCTATAAGGATTTTAGCCAACAAGTTAACCCGATTGGTTAATACAAGTAAATGTTGAATGTTAGATTATATTAGGCAATAATATTATCAATTAGTGAAAATCTCATATTATATTATTGTAGCAATATAACTAACTAAATTTTAGAACAAATTACTATGTAGTTTATAATTTATGCACATCAAGTTTCAATTGTTAAATTTTAGAACAAATTACTATGTAATTTATAATTTATCTCTTGTATCAATTTGATAAGTAAAAAAGTTTAAGATAATTTTAAAAATAAAATCATTAAAAAAATTTAAAAAAATGATAACTTTTTTAATTAGGAAAAATATCACATCAATGGGGTGTGAAAAAAAAATAATTACAAATTAAGGAAAAATTTATGTATATTAATAATTAAATTTATAAATTTTTTCTTGAATTTATATATATATTTTTCTAATACCACAGTGACACTGTCAAGTAATAACCCCTTTTAACTAATACACAAAGTTTCCAAACACCCAAATATTAGGAGAGTATCTAATAAATTTTCTCTCAATCTATGATCTCTTTTGACAAGGGGTTAAAAAGTAATTTTTTTGATTTTTAATCTTTTTTGAATCACATTACCTTTCTACTTTTTACACGTTTTTTAAAAAATAATTATAAAAAATCAAAAAAAATTAATTTTTAATCTACTTTCCAAAACAACTCTATTACTAGCAAAACCACGACTATCTAAACATAAATTATTTAATGGAAGACAGAGGAGGACGAGGTTGGGAGCCGGTGCTGAGGAAGAGAGGGGGAGGTGGATTACAAAGGGCATCAATGGCGAGTGTATTAGTAACGATATTTGTTGATAAGGTCCTGGAGATGATGAATCCAAAGGGCTTGTTCAATCTTTTCATCCATTTTGGAGTGGTAAAGGATGTGTTGATTCTGGTGAAAAAAAGGAAAGCAGC